CCCCAGTACTCCCGGCCCGGGGCTATGAGCCCCATCCCCATGTCCAGCCCCGAGGCCTCCCACCTCCGCCCCCAACACACTCACTTGAGGTGGTCCAAGGAGTGGATGTTGCGGGAAGACTTGCCATGGCCCCCGCCCACCCAGCTCCGTGAGCGGCCAAACATGTTGGCGGCCCCAGCTCGTCGTTCGCTTCACGGTCTCATGCCCCGGCGGCCGAGCGGCCGGGAGCCCGCGGCGGTAGCACAAGCCGCGGAGGTGGTGAAGGGACCGCCAACCACCTTCCTCCCCGGCCCACAGCTCCGCACTGACATTCAGCCGGAACCGGCCGTTCGACCGTCGCGCTTTACGGCCGTCGCCACGAGGAACGCTGGGAAATGCAGTTCGCCCGCGAGGCCCCCGCCGACTGGACTCTGCGAACCAACTACAAGGCCCGGCGTGCATCACGCAACTGCGGGCCTGCGGCCTTCGAGAAAAGGCGGAGCGACAGGAGGAGAGACCGCAGTACCGTCTAGGTGGGCGGGAATAGAAGACGAATTCGCAGAGCTGAGGAGATCGGTGAAGTAGGGTGGATAAAAGTAGCCGCAGTATTAACAATTATTAACTATACGATAAGAATAAGAGTAGCTATTGCATAGCATATACCACATGCCACTGCCCTAAGCGCTTACATATATATAGTTACTTAATTCTAACAACCATATGAGGTGAGCACTATTCTTATCCTTACTTTACTGTCAAGGAAGCTGAATTACAGACAGGTTGAATTGCCCAAGGTCATGCAGCTAGTAAGTGGCAAAACTAGGGTTCAAGCACAGGTACCCTTATTTTTATCCTACACTAAACTAAATTGCATCAAATCGGTAAAGGTCTTGTTTCTCCTCACGGCGGTTTTCTTTTTCCACTCCAATTATATATAGGTAGATATAGATATATAGATAATATGCAACAGTGTAACAAAACTACGCGTCCTGTACTTTTAGAGGATTTCTCTGGTCTTCGCCCAAAATTCATGCCATTTTCAAAACTACCACATTTAAAAAAAAAAAAAAAGGAAACATTCAACTTTCTATATGAGCCAGGAAGATGTATCTAAATTTCCCTCTTGGATAAAGAGTGGGAAGCTCCGTGGAGGTCAGATGACCCTGTTCACCATTCATTTGTCCATTTCTTCCTTCGTTTATTCCTACAACTCATAGTTATCTAAGGCCCGTTGTGTCCCGTTTACTGTGCTCAGGGCAAAATTGGGCCAGGGGTCAATGTTCTCCCCAGTGCCTCGCACAAGGCTTGGTGCATAATAAGTGTTTAACAGAATGAATGAATAAATGAAGGTTGGTTTCACCTTCTGCAGCTGGAGAAATGGAGACCAGTGGAGGGTTAATGATTTGCTCTGTAATTCATCTAAAGTGACAAGAAATAGTCATGGAGAAAAAGGCAGGTTCTGGCCTCCAAACACAGACAAGCCCAGTAGCTTCCAGGGTCCCTCCGTTTCTCGGGGTCTCGGTTTCCTCATCTGTAAAAAGGGGTAACATACTACGCTGCCCTGTCTGGCTCCAACTGAGCAATGCATGTAAAGCACCCAGCAGCTCAGTGTGGCCTGAGATTAAAAAGTCTATTGAACTGCTTGGCAGACACTGTGGGAAAGGTCAGCCTCCTCAAGGACGCACAAGGGTTGTCAATGAGGGGAATCGGAGAGTGGACGAGTCTCACTTTTCCGTGCACTTCTTGGTTGAATATTTAACCACGTGCATTGTTATTGTTTTAAAACATGGCTTAGGAAGAAACAGGAAGCAAGCCTACAGGCTGAAGGTCTGGCCCACCTGGGAATCTCTTTACTCAGGTGCCCCTGAACCCTGTGATGCAGAACGCCCACCCCACAATAGGCAGCCCTTCCAGCAGCCAGAATTTGGAAATGAAGGGGGCCCTGGTTGATCATACCAACCACGAAAAATTGGCACTTTGAGGAAGTCCAAGATTTTCACTGTTCAAGTTCACCATCCCTCCCCTACCCCGCCTCCTTTTTCAACTGGGAAACTGAGTCCCAAAGAGACGTGGCACCATACTCAAGACCAGACAGGTGCAGAGGAACCTCGCGGTTTTCTTCAGCTTTTGTCGCCTTAGGGTACGTCTAGGTTTGAATTGTATTGCGTTTCTTTCCCTTCCCCCCTGCTCCGTAGGGGATTCGCAGAACGAATTGGATTTGAGATGAGTCCAGAACCAGGAAAGCAACTCAGAGGCCAGCACCCCAGGGGCGGAGCTAATAGGTACCCGCCCCGGACGGCTGGGGCCAATGAGCGCGGGCGTCGAGCGGGCCAATGAGCGCGGGCAGGGGGCAGTGGACCAATGAGCTTGGGGTCGCTCCGGAGGAGGAGTTCGGAAAGCTACCAGCAGGGAGACGCGGCGGCCGCAACCATGGGCGTTGGGCCTGCGGGTGCTCGAAGCGGGCTCCAAGAACTGCCGGGCTGATCTGCAGAGGCCCCGCGGGGACTGGCCCTCGACGTTAAGCCGCGGTGGTGTCCCCGCCGGCTCTGCAAGGGCATTTGATTGCGAACCGGGCGCATCGGACGAGCCGGGCAGCCGCCGGCCACTTCAGGGGGGGCCTTCCTGGCAGTTGGGCGGATCGAGAGGGCTGTGTGGTCACATCTGGAAGTGCGGTGACCCCGCCAGGCACGTTTCGGGGGGCCGGGGCGCGTCCACAGGGGCCGCCGCACATCCCCGGGGGGACACCGCCCGGGCCGCTTCGGTCGAGTCCCAGAGCGCCCCTGGATGGCTGAGCTGCCCCCTCGCCGGCCGCCGGGGCGCCACAGCGGCTGAGCTCGCTGGGATCGCCGGGCCACTGCCGCCCTCGCTGCCCCCTGCATGCCCGGCGCCCGGGTCGCGGCCCACCTGGACGCGCTGGGCCCCCTGGTCCCCTACGTGCCGCCGCCGCTGCTGCCCTCTATGTTCTACGTGGGCCTGTTCTTTGTCAATGTGCTGATCCTGTACTACGCCTTCCTCATGGAGTACATCGTCCTCAACGTGGGCCTCGTCTTCCTGCCCGAGGACATGGACCAAGCGCTCGTGGACCTCGGTGTGCTCTCCGACCCCGGCTCGGGACTCTACGATGCAGACTCAGAACTCGACGTCTTCGATGGTTACTTGGAGTAGGCTTGGCTTCCGTCCCCCACGCCCCCCACCACGACCCGCAACCTTCCGCCGGGACCAGCCGCCGCCGCTGGCTGAGAGCACCTGGCCAGGGATGGGACCCCCAGGACGAGGCCCTCTCCAGCCTCCGAGGCCTGTAAGTGCCCTGTCTGTGTGGAATGAGGACGGGTTGGGGCGCTGGTGAGGAAGAGGGAGGCATCCCCAGACCGGACACACACCTCTCCCCCACGCTTCTGATTCCTCCGTCCATTCCCCGCCCCCCCACTCCCGTCTGTTTGGATGCCAGGAATGGCTGGACTCCTCTTAGGCCCTTAGTTGGATTTGGAAAGCTTCCACTAACGAAGGTGACAGCTGTTGAAGAGGGGAAGGAAGGCAGGGACCAAGTGGCTTTTCGGTTAGCCATGGTACCAACTGCCACAGCTTGTGCAAAGAGCCTTTGCACCCAAACCCACTTGAGGCAGAGATGTCGGCTCCTCCCCGCATCCTCAGCCTGGCTTGATGATGACCTTGGTTTTTTGGGGAGTCTCACTAGTCCTGAAAGGATAAAGACTTGGAGTGTCAGAAAAGATAGGAAGCCAGGCAGTGATCACCTTTGTCCTGTGGCCCCTTAAGGGATTGAGTAGGGACCCAGAGCCAGGGCTCCGGGCTGAGGCTATAAAGGATAAATCTCCTTCAGCAAAGAACCCTGTACTTCCTTTGGCCTTGGGTTTGCTGCTTTTTGGAGTCAGGTTTCAGGGTGCCCCACAGCTTGGCAGTTCTGCAGCTCAAATCTGCAGGGGCTGCCAGTTGCACAGGCTGCCTTCACAGAACAGGCAAGCTGGGGAATTGTGCTGGGGTGGCTTTGCCTGCAGTGTTTGCCTCAAGGGGCTCTTGGGCCAGCAGGAGGAGGAACCACAGGATCATGATAGCATTGAGGCGTTCAAGTCCTTCCTCGGGGCTGTGAGCAGGAAGCTGTATCCAGCCGCACGTTGTGTGTTGGTGGGAGGGGAGTGAAGATCCGGAAAGGAGACAGACTTGGCCAAAATCACACAGCGAGGAAGAGAGGCACCTGGACTAGATGGGAGAGACAGGCAGGCTGTTGAGTCTGATTGAGGGCTCACAGGGCATGCGTGAACTCCCTGGCTGGACCCCCTCAGCTGACCAGTGCTGGAGTGTCGCTAGGCACAGGACCTGAGTGGCAATGGTGGGGGGATACTGAGGCGATGGGCAAGGGCTTCTTTAGGAAAACAGACACTGATGCCACTCATGCCAAGGAGGCTGACTGAACACCTCTCCTCTGTTGCCTGTCTTCGTCAAGGTAACCATAGTCAGTGCGATACAACGTGGGGCTGGACCTTCTGCCAGCAGTGCTGGGAGCCAAGGGCTCCCTTGAGGGGTCAACAGTGAGATTTCTGTGAGGAAAGCTTCATTTGAGCTGCTCTGCATACTTACCCAGACTGCCATCCCTCCTTCCATCGGTTCTTTTATTGGACAAATGTTTACTGAGCACCCACTGTGCCTGGTGGGTGAACACAGTGAACAAGGCCGACTTAGCCCCAGCCCTCCTGGCACTTGGTGAGAAAGACAAGCAGGCCCCCAAACAAGATAGCGAGGTTTCTTTTCCGAGTCACGCAGGCAGGTAAGAAGGACATGGGTGTCCTCTGTCCCTGCTGTTTCCTCAGCATTGAGAGTAGCGCCCGGCATCTATTGGGTTGTCGGAAAAGTCATGACGTATTTTTTCTATGTTTTTCGTTGCAGAAATGCGTCATGACTTTTCCGACAGCCCAGTATTAGGTGCTCAATGAATGTCTACCGAGTGAGTGACTAGCGATCGGGGAAAGGCCCTTCTGAGGAGATGACACATGAGAACTGAGCCCTAAATAGAAGGAGCCAGGCATGAAGACCTGGAGAAAAGCAGTCCAGGCCAAGGGAACCACTAGAGCCGAGGCCATCGGGTGGGAGGAAGTGGGTTCTTCCAGCAACTGAAAGGAGGCCAGTGTGGCTGGACAGCGGCCCCATGAGAGATCAGTGGGGTGGGAGTGGGCCGGACTGTGTGGGACCTAGAGGCCACAGCCATGAGCAGGGGGAAGCCATCAGAAGGTTTGGGGCCGGGGATGACACAATTCCAGCTCACATTTTGCAAAGATGGCTTTGGCGGTTGTGGACAGAATGGGCTTTAGGGGCAAGTGTGGAAGCAGGCAAGCCAGGTAGAAGCTGTTCAGTCGCCAGAGGTGATGGATGCTTGGATGGGCAAGGTTAGTGAAAATGGAGAAACAAGAACTGCCTGAGAACACCTTTTGGAGGTAGAGCCTATGGGAACCACTCAAAACCTGTACTGATACTGAGCATCTACCACACCTGGGTCTAGGCCCTTTCAATATTCACTCGTTCAGTCATTCAGCAAACGTTAGACCTGCCTGCTCTTCTGCCAGGCCCTGTCTTAGGCCCCAGGGATCCTAAGTTGAGTCCCTGTCCCCAAGCCAAGTGCGTGACTTTCAGACGGTGTAACCTGGTGAAGAATGTCTTGTTTTACCTCTTCACCACATCAACAGAAACACTTTCCCCTCCAAGTGGCAACATTGGCATGCTCTGAACCAAAAACTGAAGGCCAAATGCTTTGACATACTTTGCAGCAAACGCTGTTTGAGCAGAAACACAGGAAGTGTGTCTCAGGGACACCCTTGCAAAGCTTTCAAAGTGACAGGGCCTGACCCTGGGAGGTGGGGAGGCCCGGGGCTGTGGAAAATACTTGTGCCTGCAGAAATGGTGGAAGCCATGCACAGCATTCCCTCTTTCCAGCTCCCAAATCCAAGCCAAGGTGGCCTTGGCCCCAAGGACCCGGGAGCCCAGACTTGGGTGGGGGAGGGGTGGCTAGCAGCAGGAAGAAAAGCCTTTGGGGAAGATTACAGATGACCTGACTCCACGCCATCTCCAGACCCCTTTCCATAAGCAAAGGAGCACCAGTGGTCAAACTGCATTCTTTCTCACTCATTCTCACGTGGACACAGGCTCATGTTACACACAAGGCAATTCAGAAAGCACTGACTAAGGGTGAAGGCCATGCCCGGCAGTGGGGATAGGAGTGGATCTCAAGATGAAAAGACAAACTCACTTTTTCCCCCTCTCTTTCTCTCTTTTATGTGTGTACCCACATAATTCAGGTCCTCAAACATAGGTTGAGCCCCTATTACGGAGGCAGCGTTAGGGACTGCGGATTCAGATGCCCTGGGTTCAAATCCCAATCCTAGCTATGACCTCAGGCATGCTATGCACCTCCCTGTGTGTCATATTCCTCTTCTATAAAGCGGGGATAATGAGACTCTACCTCCTGGTAAGGATTAAATGAGGTATATGTAAAGCTCTCAGACCTTCCTGTGTATAGTAACGGACATATTAAAATCAACTGCTATTATCATCAGCAGATATAATAGAAAGTGTGTACACTCGGGCCCTTGCGAATGCACAAACCTGCACATACACCCATGTGTGAATATCTCCCGCAATGAACAAAAGCGGACTGGCTGCCTGAGTGCTGAGTAGGTCCAGGAATGGACTCTCGGAACAGACGTCCCACTCTGCCTTCCAGCCTGGACCTTTGGGAGACCTTGTGCACCAGATCTGGAGCCCTGGAGAACCCGGCCCTGTGGTATTCCTAGTGTTAATCGCTGCCCAGGAGCAGGGAGTGGGGGTCAGGAGCTCCCTCCTTCCCAGGAGAAAGGGCCGCTGAGGGAGAGTCCTCACATCCCAACAGCTCCCATGCGGAGGCAGCTCAGCTGGATTGATGTGTCCCGGATGAAAGCTGCCAGTATAGCCCTCTGTTGGCACAGAGGAGGGCTGAGGGCGAGGAGCCTCACTGCGCTGGAAATGGAGAGACGGGAACGCAGCTGCCAGAGTCGGCCTGCCTGGTGGAGCTCAGATTTGGAGCTGAGAGGAACCAGACCCGGCGGTCTTACTACAGGGTTACCCAGACTTCAGCCTCCCAACTGGGCGCTGCAGCTGCCCTGCTCCCTCCATGCCATCTGTGACCTGTGCCAGCAGCAGAACACGCAGGCTGGGCCTGTCACTGCTGTGCTCAGAAACCCAGAGCTTCCTTGGGGACACGGGCACGATAGATTCAGATCCTGGGAGGTCCCCCAGGCAGCTGGTAGAACTCCAGGCAGGGGTCTGGGCAGACGGGGAAAACCAGGTGAGAAGCTGTGACAGTCATCCAGGCGAGAGACGGGCGGTGGTGATGAGGGCCAGGCACATGCATCCCTAGACCTGCTGATTCTCCAACTTTGTCCTGACGTGAGGCTTACTGGGAAGGGCGCTGTCCACAGGGCGCATTGGTGCTGGCTGCCCCTTTGGACAGGAGAAGACCCCAATATGTGTCTCAAGACAGCTGAGATGCCAGACGTCCCACGCCCTTGGCTCTGAGTTACGCAGACTGGAGATTTTGTCCAAGAGACACCCGCAGCCCTTGTGTCTGTTTTGTTGAAGTAAGAAATTCAGGACTTCCCTCAACTTGACCATTCATGTTCCTGGTTTATCTGCTGACTTTCCTCTGGGACTTCCGTAAGCTTAGTTTGCTTTTGGGAAACCAAGATCACCGTAAAAGGTACAGGCATCATTACCCCCGTCTCACAAATAAAGAAAGGCGGAGTGAGGGGCCAGGGAACAAAGGCGAGTGAGACAGCTGAGCCTCCCCTTGGGGGAGCGTGGGGACCAGGGGCCTCCAGGGCGGGGCTCTGACCCTTGTCCTTAGACCCCCACTCCTGGTTCTGCTGGGCCTGCCTCATGCACTCTCGCTCCTTTTATCTGAACGTTTTAAACAAAACTATTTTAAAATTTACAATTATACAAAAGTCGTAAGAAGAGTACAGAGAATTCCTATACACCCTCCACCCAAATTCGCCAATTGCGCCGGTTCATATTTTGCCACCTTTGCTCGTGTATGCAACATGTTTTCACCCTGTGTATGTACCTGTATGTACATACACCTACATACATGTATAATTACTTTTCTGAACCATTTGAAAACCGATTGCGGGCATTATGCTCCTTTAGTCCTAAATATTTCAGAGTGTATTTCCCTAGACCAAGGACATTTCACTTACATAACCACAGTGCAATTGTCAAAATCAGCATTTAGCATTGATAAAACCGTAGGACCAATCT